ACGAGGAGGAAAAAGAAGAAATGGAATCAATCTTAGAGCCAATAAAGAAAGCACTACAGGAAAACGAATTTCCCTACGAATTTACCATCGAAACATTAGCTGAATTTGTTATCAACATTAAAAATTCCGAAAACCCCTTAGAAACAGCATACAAATATTCCAAAAATGTCCCCGACCTAATTTCAACCCTTAAAGACCTTTATCCTTCCTTGAACAATCAAAGAGCCAAATACCGATTCACCCAAGTCACTAATATCTTACAAAATCAAATAAAAGTACAAGAAGACAAAACAACTGATACCAATTCCACAGAAAATGACTCAGAAGCGGAGTATTACTAACACTATAACTATAAAAAACATACAAAATATATACATCAAGATGGCCAAATTTCTGCAACTAAACTGTAATGGTTACTATAGACACCTTCCAGAAATTCAACTCTTACTGGCAGAACACCAACCTCAAGTAATATGCCTACAAGAAACACATTTAAAACAAAACACTCAACCATTTATTAAAGGATATATGGGTTATAACAAACCGCGAATCCATCAACATGCCAGTGGCGGAGTCAGCATATTTGTTAGAAACGATATTCAATCCAAAATGATAAACATAAATAGCCCAATAGAAGCAATACTAGTTCAAATCTCTATTCCGCAACCAATAAATGTATGTAATATTTACACACCTCCAGATTACATGCTAGAACAAAGCGACTTAGAAGATCTACTAAACCAAATTCCCTCTCCTCAGTTTATAGTAGGAGACTTCAATGCCCACAATCCATTATGGGGAAGCAAGAACACAAACGCGAAAGGCAAAATTATAGAGAAATTCTTAGATGACGCAAATATGGTTTTACTAAACACCGGTCTTTAAACGCGATATAATATTAGCAATGTACCGTACAAGGGGGCTTCGATAACAAAGAATTTGATTGTAAGTGGACTGTAATTATGAATTACTTCCAAGGCCTTGTTTATGCTGGGAATGAAAGAATATAGACACATAAATAAACGTGTTTATTATCAAAAATACAAAGTAAATGAATTTCTATTGAATATGGTTGACGTAGGCATGACGGCTACTAGAATATGGTAAAGTTACGAAGGATAATGTAAACAAAGGAACTTACGTGTTGTTTCGAAGTCCATTAACAACGAAGGCGATGTTGCAATGGCGAAGATTGCTCTATTCTACGAAGTTGTCGAATTTGTCGATTTTGTTACAACGAAATCTTCTAATTGATGTTCGGTGCTTTGACGTTCTGCTTGTTAATAACGATGTTGCGAACTGCACGGCGACATCTTGACCCGTTGTGGATCGATCGAGATCTATATGCGAACGACGAAGGCTAATCGGCCATTGGTTAACGGCGACTTCTCAACGTAGTTGAGTTGATGGCTTCTAAGCGAAGAATCCCACGAATTCTGCGCGACGAGTACACATATTGCGCTTCTGCGGCTCATGCGCGCACACGTAACAAATAGGAATATATACAGGCAAGGCAAAACGGTTATGTACAGGGTATTTTCATTAAAGGAAAAACGAAAGGATATTTTATTCTAGTTTGGGGACGCAACAAGCAATAACACCACCTCTGCTATTGATCTTACCCTTTGTCATCCCACGCTTGCGACCGAATTCATATGGACCACAATACCAAACCTAAATGTATCAGATCATTGATATTGATTGAAAAAAGTGCAAAAACCAAGGTTCCAGTAATAAGCAATCAAAACTGGAAAATATCCAAGGCAGATTGGGAAAAATACTCTTCATTAATAGATCAACGGAATTTTTCTTTCACGAATAATGATAGTATCGACTATATAGTAACCAATTTTACGAATATTATCATTGAGTGTGCTAAAGAAGCAATACCCAGAACAAAGTCAGTCAAGTTTACGTACTCCGTCCCATGGTGGAACGATGAATGTAAGGATGCAATCAAACTCAAAAATAAAGCTTATAATAGATTAAGAAAATTAGGTACAACTGAAGCCAAAATTGAATATAAAAAATATCGAGCGCTGGCAAGAAGAAAGATACTAAAAAGTAAAGAGCAATCATGGGCACAGTTTGTTAGTTCAATCAATATACAGACAACAAATAAGGAATTATGGCAGAAAATTAAAAGTATGAAAGGACAACAAACAAATTTTCAGATACCGGCTTTCTTAAATCCTGATGACAATGAACTCACCTGTAATCAACAAAAAATTGCAAATATTCTAGCTGACACTTTTGCAGAGAATTTTAACAAACAAGATGGAAGAATCCAAGAAGAAGAACAACACACATCTTCGGACAACCAAGAAGATTATAACAAGCCTATAAACAAAGCGGAGCTACAATATGCAATAGCAAAATGTAGAAGCTCTAGCCCAGGACTAGATACAATACACTACCAGATGATTAAGAATCTACCACAAAGTTTTAAACTACACCTCCTTAACATATATAACCATATATGGAATAACAATATCTTCCCAACAAGCTGGAAAACGGCAACTGTTATTCCAATCTTGAAAGCCAACAAAGAAAGAACAGATCCAGAAAGCTACAGGCCAATCGCTTTGACAAGTACCTTGTGTAAACTACTAGAACGAATAGTTAACTACCGCCTCGTGTGGCTTTTAGAAAGAGCAAATAAAATATCAATTATACAAAGTGGCTTCAGGAAAAATAGATCAACTCTAGACCCTCTTTGCGCATTAGATACAGACATTAAAAATGCTCTAATAAACAAGGAACAATTAACTGCAGTATTCTTCGATATAAGAAAGGCATACGACACTATCTGGACGACAAAGATTCTGCAAACGTTAGCTAAATGGAATATAGGAGGTCACATGAGCAATTTTATAAGGAACTTCCTTCAAAACAGAAAATTTTTTGTTCGAATAAACGGTACATTATCAAAGGAATGCGAACAAAGAGGCGGAATCACTCAAGGATCAGTAATTAGCCCAACATTATTCCAGATAGCTATTAATGACATATCCCAAAACCTTCCGAAAAACGTGAAAGCACATCTATTTGCAGATGACCTGGTAATATACATCAGTGAGAATCCAGAAGTTACCCAAGAAAAACTACAACTATCAATAAAAAAATTACACAAATGGTCGAAAAATAATGGTCTTACCTTTTCACCTGAAAAAACCAAGTACATAACTTTCAGTAAGAAACGATCTACTCCACCATTGTACTTACGTCTTAATAACATTCTTTTACAATCCACATCAGAAATAAAATATTTGGGAATAATTTTTGATTCAAGAATGAACTGGACCAAGCATATTAATAAAACTATCCACAGCTGCAAAACTACACTTAATTTAATTAAAGTAATAGCCCACCATAAATGGGGATCTTCCGAAAAAACACTTTTTACATTATTCAAGATGCTAATAGTCCCGAAAATCGAATATGGAGGTATTATATATAACACCGCAAACAATAATCTTTTGAAAAGAATTGACACAATCTATAACAGCGGATTACGACTGGTAACGGGTGCTTTCCACACAACTCCCGTAATAAGTCTTTACGCTAAGATGGGGTTTCTTCCCCCGCACTACAGAAGACAAGTCAAATTACTAAAATATACAATAAATGTCCTCTCAAATCAATCTAACCCGAACTATCCGGCCTTTAATCTCCCTCTTTACCAAAATACATTTCGGCACTCTCAGGGACAAATTTTACCAATACCAATACAAGCGAAAAATATCCTCTCTGATCTAAACCTAACAATGATTACGCAAAATTCCTACAGCAGTATTCCAATTTATACACATCCTCCACTGATAAACCTAGAATTAACTTCCTGTAGCAAAACAGACACGCCGCCAGAGTTATTTAAAATAAAACTACGAACTATCTTAAGTCAATATCCAGACTATATAAAGATCTTCACAGACGGATCTAAAGAAAGTGGAAAAGTCGGAAGTGCTTTCGTGTGTCCGGATAAAAACATTTGCGAAAAACAGCGTCTGATAGAATATAGTTCAAATTACAGTGCCGAACTTTGTGCTTTAAAAATGGCGTTGAAATTTGTCGAAAATAATGTCAACAATAATTTCCTGATACTGTCAGACTCTAAAAGTGCTCTTCAATCCATAAAAAATTTATATCCTACAAACAGTTACGTACCAAGAGACATTACGAATGTGTTTGAAATAGACATATTAAAGTTATTGGGTTATTTAGAAAATACAAACCTGTTAAATGAGATATAGATCACTCATGTAAATTTTTAAGTTAAGTTTAATGGTGTAAAAGACCTAAGCTGTTCAATGCACCTTAAATAAATTAATAAAAAAAAAAAAAAAAAATTGGGACTGGAAGCTGATGAATAGAAAGAATAGGGGTAATTTAAAAATAAAAGAGGGAGTGTTTTTACTGGTGACGTAGTAATTTTAAATATTTTTTTACCCCTCAACTCAAAGTGAGGACAAGAGCGAAATCTTAATTTCTCTGAGAATCTTTAGCTATTTGATAGCAATTTTGTATTTACTACGTCTAGGCAACTTTGCAAATTGCGATGTACGATAAGCAGGTGGTCTCAGTATTGCAATTGCAATTTCCGTGCTAATTAATTTATATTCAGGATTATTTATAATAAAATGTGGTATAACATGTATAGCCAATTGAATAAGATTTTATGCTTCCGTTTGACTTTTGCCATTACATCGTATACATACATACGCAGAACGTTCCACGCCCAAACTGAAATGTTAATTTTTGATTTAAATCTGCAATTTAATTATGTACCTACTTTAGAAAGGATAACCTCTACAGCGTCCAAATTTAATACAATACGCAGAAGGAATCGATTCCGGTTTTCTGAATACCTATGATTAATGTCGAAACACGTTACGGTACCTATATGTAGTGCAAAAATTCGCTAAAAAACGGAAGGTCGAGGCAAAGCAAGCACGTGGTCCTTGAATTCCTGTCGGATACCATATAAATTTCCCGGTTTATATTAGCGACTGCATCAGTCTTCATTTGCAGGCCGAACTATTTACAACGACTATAATGTTCAAGTTAGTAGTTCTAGCAGCGCTTTGCGCCTTCGTTGCCGGCAAACCCAGCGTGGGGCACGATGCCATTCTCGCTCATGATGCTACATTTGCCCATCTACCCGCGGCCGTTAGCCACAGCTACGTCAGCCACCCAGTGGTCGCCCACCACTACGAAGCCGTCGCCGCTCCAGTTGCTCACGTAGAAACTGTCGCTCATGAAGCTAAAATCTCCCACGTGCCAGCCGCTGTTACTCACAGCCATAGGGCCGACTACATCAGCAACCCAGTGGTCGCACGTACCCACGTCGTCGCTCCAGCTGTTGCTCACTACGAAGCCGTGGCCGCCCCAGTCGCTCATGTGGAAACTGTCGCCGCTCCAGTGATCGCTCACGAAGCTAAGATCTCCCACGTGCCAGCCGCCGTCAGCCACAGCCACAGGACCGACTACATCAGCAACCCAGTGGTCGCCCGCACCCACGTTGTAGCTCCAGCTGTTGCTCACTACGAAGCCGTGGCCGCCCCCGTCGCTCACGTAGAAACTGTCGCTCATGAAGCTAAAATCTCCCACGTCCCAGCCGCCGTTACCCACAGCCACAGAGCCGACTACATCAGCAACCCAGTGGTCGCACGCACCCACGTTGTAGCTCCAGCTGTTGCTCACTACGAAGCCGTGGCCGCCCCAGTCGCTCACGTAGAAACTTACGCCGCTCCAGGTCGCCCACCACTACGAAGCCGTCGCCGCTCCAGTTGCTCACGTAGAAACTGTCGCTCATGAAGCTAAAATCTCCCACGTGCCAGCCGCTGTTACTCACAGCCATAGGGCCGACTACATCAGCAACCCAGTGGTCGCACGTACCCACGTCGTCGCTCCAGCTGTTGCTCACTACGAAGCCGTGGCCGCCCCAGTCGCTCATGTGGAAACTGTCGCCGCTCCAGTGATCGCTCACGAAGCTAAGATCTCCCACGTGCCAGCCGCCGTCAGCCACAGCCACAGGACCGACTACATCAGCAACCCAGTGGTCGCCCGCACCCACGTTGTAGCTCCAGCTGTTGCTCACTACGAAGCCGTGGCCGCCCCCGTCGCTCACGTAGAAACTGTCGCTCATGAAGCTAAAATCTCCCACGTCCCAGCCGCCGTTACCCACAGCCACAGAGCCGACTACATCAGCAACCCAGTGGTCGCACGCACCCACGTTGTAGCTCCAGCTGTTGCTCACTACGAAGCCGTGGCCGCCCCAGTCGCTCACGTAGAAACTTACGCCGCTCCAGTGGTCGCTCACGAAGCTAAGATCTCCCATGTCCCAGCCGCCGTTAGCCACAGCCACAGGACCGACTACATCAGCAACCCAGCGATCGCACATACCCACGTTGCCCACGTAGCCGCTCCAGTCGCTCATCATGTTGAAGCCTTCGCCGCTCCAGTCGCTCATCATGTTGAGGCCGTCGCCGCTCCAGTCGGTCACCACGTTGAAACGATCGCCGCTCGCTTTTCCGCCCCAATTGTCGCTCATGCCGCTCCCGTCGCTCACGTAGCCACCATCGCCAAATCCGCCCCGGTCGCTACCGCCGTATCGCAATCCGTCGTTGAACATCACGCTCCCGTTTCTCACGTTGTATCCGAGGTTGCCGCTGCCCCAGTCGCCCACCACGTTGGATACGTTGGTCATTTGGGATACGCCGCCCCTTGGGAGCATTATGGTCGTAGTTGGTAAAAATGTATGTACTGATCAATAATTTTAATTAAAAGGCGATAAATATACTCTGATTGTTTTCCATTTACGTTAATTCGGTAAAAGTCTCAAGTGTAACGTTTCCTAACTCAAAAGCAATATTACTCAACTGCGTATCGTACAATAAATATTTCTTTTCTTCCTATCTAATTTGTCATAACCTCCAAGAACATACTGAGTTTAGGTAAAACCACGTGTCAGGTTTTACGATACGTTATATGAAACTCAAAGTAAGCAGATAGAAATAACGATGAAAAAATTGATCGTTTCGCTTGGTTTGAGAAAATAGATGATGTAATTTTCCTTGATTATCCTCCCAATTTTCCCACGCGAAGAAAGAACTATTTATACTTTACAAGCACTTGAAAAGTAACCTGTTTCGAGGCTGAATCTAGAAAACCTCCAAATACAATTTTAACAACTGAATGCGTCACAGGGCTCACTTGATTTTTAGTTCGTTTTTGTAAACTTGTTTCTCAACGCCGCCTATGTCCAAGTTGCAAGGTTATTAATAGGTTACAAATCGGTCTTGAATTGAAATACGCTACGTAGAAAAGGAGCAATGGCGGCTTTTGTGCTTAACCTTTAAGTCCTGACAAAGTCCTGACAAAAGACTTTTGCTAAAGATTACTCGGAAGTTCTTAGATTGAAAAAAACCTAGAGATTCTATATTAAACGCCTATGAACTCGAAAAATATTTCAGATGTTTTAGGATTTGGTCAGGGATTCCTTGCATAAAAATTTTTAGATATATTTTAGTCATTTTTAGAAATTCGTTAAAGATTCTCCAAAAATTTTTCATGTATTCTTCAAGAGCTCAAATATTTTTTTACCATTAGAAGCTGTTCATAAACCGTTCGAGTTTTTTAAAGAACCTTTGGAGACCTCACCAAATATTCTACAAAATTAGGTTCTTCGGATATTTGTTACTCCAGAGCAACGTATTAGTGCTCTAAGGTTTTGCGTAGATGCTAGGTTTTTAGAAAACCTTCTACAACACTTTTCCCAAATATATCTCACAAATTTCATTCCAGAGGACCTTCAGACATAAAATTCTTCAAATCTTTTCCACAAATCTTTTAGAGAATCCCAAATTCCTTTCGATGTTCTTTGAGATTTTTTTTCACAAATGTTTAGGGTTTTAAAACTTCCGTGTGACTTTCACGGGGTGTTCTCTGGGAAATTTTAAATATTCTTGAGCCATTTTAGGAACATTTTTTGAAATTTAGGTAACGTAATTTTTCAGTGGTTACTTAAAAGTTTCGAAATCCCTTGAATCTAAAATGTGCTTAAATAGTCTCTAAAATACTTAACAATTTATCTGAAGGATTTCCGAATAGGTGTCTCACCTTTCTATCCCCGAAACGTGAAAATAATTGTTTTGACAAAAATCCAAAACGCGGCCAATTTCCATGTCGAAGAGGCCAATTTTTATGCTCTTGCAACTTTAAACCTGTGCGACCCTCTACAAGTTGTTGCACAGGACGAGGTTGTTTTTACTTATAGACAAACATTTTTGATTTTTTTTCAAAACGATCGATTAATTACCACGAAATCGCGTTTTAAAGTTTCAAAAATTGATTATTCCATAGGAAACAATTTTGATTCATACCCAGATCTTATATTTCTCCCCAGCCTCAGCGCCAACATTTCCATCTATCAATAATTTAGGAGAATTTCGTAAATATACCTACGCCTAAAAGGTATTAAAGTCCCTGAAATTTTTATTGATTACACATCAGGAACCCAGACTACTATACTAACACTATGCACTTTTCGAACTTTCCAGATGAGTGCGGAGTGAGAAATGCATAAACGATGTTGACGTTGTTTTCAAAGGAGTTTCGTTTTCAAATTTAATGTACTGAGGTTTTTTGTCGCAAATTCCACTCGCAATTCCTAAATAAAAGCATGGTCGTATGTGATTGGATCTATCCAAGCGGTACGTAAAGACAAAGACAAAGAGTAGAGATGTAATAATTTATTTTCGAACATTTGAATTTTGATCAGTACAACATTTTTACCAAGCATATCCGTAATGCGCCAATGGAGCGGCAGCGTATCCTAAATGGCCAGCGTATCCCAAGTGGCCAGCATAACCCAAGTGGCTGTATCCGACGACGGCGGGAGCGGCAACGTGCGACACGACCGGGGCGGCGTGTGCTACGATCGGGGCGGCTGCGTGAGTTACGGATGTGATGTGGGTCGAGGGCGCACGGTGGGTGATGAACGCCGATTGTTCGGAGATGGTGTGCTGGACGGGAGCGGTGTGCTCGATGGTGGCATGGGCGACGACTGGTAAGGCCGTGTGGACCACGCTGGGTTTGGCGGCGACAAAGGCGAAGAGAGCTGCGAGAACTACTAACTTGAACATGATGATGTCGTTGTAATTAGTTCGGTCTGCAAATGAAGACTGATACCTTCGCAATGGCAAACCCTCGAATTTATACGAAAAATTTGCCCGTTCGAAACCAAATCGGAGGAAATAAAGGAACTAAATCAACTCCTACCGAAATTCCTTGATGGGGCGTTCCCGTTTTACACGTGAACTTGTATCGTGTCATTGACAAATAATTATGTAGGTACGCTATTTTTGATACGTAAGAATTTATTATTGTAAACCGAATACTGGTTTACAACAATTCGCCTTCCGTCGAAAACTGGTAATACCGGAGCAAGCCCTAAAAGACAATGTCAGCTCACAGATCAAAATTTGTTTGTTGTTAAGATGGACGCATTTGCGCAAGAAGACAAATCCAAATTTGGTCGATGCATTTGAGCAAAAAGAATATAATGTTTCATTCCAGTGACATTTCAATTTTCAATCGATAAAATTAAGCGCAAACGGATAAGGATAATGTTACATCCTTTGCTCGACCTAAAGCGTTCTTAAATTTATGCCATGTGCATAATTATTACGTCATATGCTCGTTTAATTGACTGGCGGTGGTTTTTTCGACCTGTTAGACCATACACATTAAATCAGGAATAATTTGTCTAACGAGATACCCAAAGTATACGACTAATTCCTTTGTAAAGTTGAGAAATTAGAGCTTAAGACTTCATTTGTGGTTGTAATCAAGTTCTACTAAGTCATTAAAATAGTTTTCTTTTTCTTTGGCATTTGCGCTTGGATTACGAAATGTAAGTTACAACTACTGAAATGGTAAAATTCCACTCAGACACATCTACAAGAAGGTGTTTCTAACAAAAATCTAGAAATAGATTATCGACTATTTTAGAAAACACAAAGATATAGGCTTAACCTTCTACGTTTTCTCATCACTCTTGCTTTAAAACGAGCCAAGAAGAGTTCGTGAAGACCTAAAATGCGCATGAAAATCTACACCCTTAATGGTTCAATATTAGGTACGTCATTTTTTTAGAGCAATTCGAGTTTATGTAGTACTGGGATAAAACTCTCGTTTGCGTCAAAAATTTTTGTTTCTTTGATTGACTTCGTTTAAAGGGTTACCCCCAAGCTATAAGATATTCCATTTTAATTAGTATAGCGATGGCCTTTGGAGGGTGTGTGATTGACTGTTATAATTATGCCCCTATTGAACACTCACGAATGTGAATCTTTGTACTGGGATGCACAGTAAACGTTTGAAACAGATGCATATAAAATAAAGGCAATTTTAAGGATCTAGTTCTATTTTGACATTTCTACAAAATATTATTAGAACATCTGTTTTTATAAACAATATGTCAACTACATACTATATAAATGGTGTGCGGTAAATTCGCCCCGGAAGACTCGCCCCGGTAAATTCGCCCCCGAAAATTCGCCCCCGGAATATTCGCCCCCTAGTAAATTCGCCCCCGGAATATTCGCCCCCAAGTAAATTCGCCCCCGGAATATTCGCCCCAAGTAAATTCGCCCCCGGAGTATTCGCCCCCAACAAATTCGCCCCCGGAATATTCGCCCCGACAAATTCGCCCCATAACATTTATTAACACTCGGAAGCCTGCTCGGAAGTAATAGGTTGGTTTAAATTAATTAAATAAATATTTGCAAAAATTACGATATTTGGAACTCAATACGGCGAGACTGACAACTCGAAATTGTTCATATCCAATCGTCTCTCACCTGTTAAAGGCTGATTCAACGGTTCAACGTCAACCGTATGTTTACAATACATTTTACAACAAATTGCGTTTACAAAGGAGTGTAATTACGGTACTCTTGTACTCGTTCCAAATTCAGCCCGTCGGATTAGCCTTAAATTTGAGAATTTTTGTAAAAAATGTGCAAATACCATAAAAGTTTTAAAATGTCCAAAGTATCCACTTGAGATCAAAAAATGTTGAACGTTGACCATTTACCAAAAATTTAGACCTTAAAAAGACAATGAATTTAGTATATACTTTGTGTCCTACTATTATGTATAAAAATGACAATACAGACACGTTTTTATTACTGATGCCATAAGAGTTCCTTTTTTGCTGTTGTCAGTTTGATTTTCAGATTTTTGTATTACGAAAGGTGAAGTATTGTGTTTGATTTACAATAAAATGAACTCTTCGTCTATTAGGATTGTAATATTTAAAATCTTAGAAAATCGTGCACAAAATTCTTTTTTTTAAGTAAATCTAACTACCTAATTAAAAAATAATACAAAACTTACCAGCACCACGTGAACCCGATCTTCAATACTCAAAACTATTTTTTCACACGAGTTTATACCAAACTCAAAATCCGTGTTCAAGCCAAGTATTGATCCGAAAGTTAAAAAAAGGTCGTAGAATCGTTAACCAAAAATCAAAGTTCGTATTCGCGCCAAAATATAACAAGTAGGAACATAAAAAGTTTCAAAACAAATACACCACCAATGATCAAACGAGCCATCAAACGTTCTGTTAGGAAGAAATGAAGCTAACACCTCAGTCAATCAAAAATGTCAGTTAAATTAGATTATGTATTACCTTCTTTTGTAATACAAGAGTTAAGGTGGATTTTCCATATGTCATGTCTGAAATAATAGAAGTCATTAAGTCATTGTGAATACAGGATTTATTTCCTTTGGATGTCAAATCCTTTGCAAATCACGCTTACTTTATTCAACCTTATCTTAATTACCTTTCATATTTTAGTTAACAGGTATTTGAGTGCCATTATTCTACCCCCTTTATGTAGGTATACACGGTTATTACAAAAAAAATTAAAATTAAACAAAATTTATTTTATGAACTGCTGGCCCTGTTACCTCCGAGGATTAATAAATCTTATGGGGCGAATCCTACGGGAGCGGAATCGCCGGGGGCGAATCTTCCAGGAGCGAATTTGTCGGGGACGAACTTGCCGGGGGCGAATTTTCCGGGGCGAATCTTTCTGGGGCGAATCTTACGGAGGCGAATAGTCCGGGGGCGAATTTACTTGGGGGCGAATATTCCGAGGGCGAATTTTCAGGGGCGAATTTACCGGGGCGAATTTTCGGGGGCGAATCATCTTACAATCATATAAATGTATGGCACGATATGAACGATATAACATTGACTTTATTTCAAAGGTTCACTATTAATCCTCCGAATGTGCATGTTTCTTCTTGCAATTAAGAATGAGAAAAATCTCAAAAAATACGTTTTCAATTATGTTTATTTTGACAACAACTAAAAAACAACTTTTTCGTTACTATAAAAATATATAACTTGATTTTTAATCAAATTGCACTAACATAGCCGGCCGCATTAAACAATTCCTTTAATTATTCATCTTCATTAAGCAATGGACATAAATTACGTACTGCCCGCTTATATAGTCCAGATTTTGTTTTAATAGTCGCTACTCTGATGATGTTATCATCACCGGGATGAACTTCGATAATTCGTCCAATTTTCCAGTGCGCAGGAGGTGTATTATTTTCTTTAATTAACACGATAGTCCCTGGTTTGACATTATCTTGTGCTGTTTTCCATTTTGTACGAACTTGGAGATCTCCAAGGTAGTCCCTCGACCAGCGATTCCAAAATTGTTGTTTTAGCTTTGATAAATACTGCCACCTGGATAATCTATTAGTGGGAATCTCCTCGAAGTCAGTATTCGGTATGGCCGTAAGTCGACGACCAATAAGGAAATGAGAAGGAGTTTGTACTTGATTATTAAAAGTAAACATTCTATTTCAACAATTACTGTTAACTACTCTTCATATGTAAGTAATGCATCGCCTAAAACCCGTTTTAGATGAAATTTAGTTGATTTTACGCCTGCTTCTGCTAGGCCGTTGAAACGTGGTGATGAAGCTGGGGAAAAATGCCACTTAATCACTTCATAAATTATTAAAGACTTTTTAAATTGATCTGCATTTTTGTTAAGAAATTCAAACAGTTTTTAAGTCATTATTTGCTCCTATAAAATTACTACCATTGTCACTGAATATGTTATGTGGTTTTCCTCTTCTAGAATCTTCTAAATGCAGCTAAAAATGTGTTAGTAGAGAGATCAGACACTAATTCGAGATGACAGGCCTTAGTAGAAAAACATACAAATCTACAAATATATGCTTTCGTTATTTTGCATCCTCGTCCTTGTCTATCTTTTAATTTAATTGGACCGCAATAATCAACCACACAATTGGTAAATGGTGGTGGTGAAAAGGCGTTAATGAATTTAATTTACTACGCTTAGGACATTCCTTTCCCAACAAAAAGGCTTGGTACTCATTAGGAAAACTTTCTTGTTGAATTACCTATACGATTACATTAAGTGCATTATTGCGTTCAATTAATGAAAGATGTCCAGTATTAATTTTAGAAAAATTCCGACTATTATTGATAAATCTTAAAACCCAACACAATAATTTACGGAATGGTTATGGAAAGGATATGGTATGGAAACGTTATGTTAAGTGAGAATCAACCTTTACTGATACTAGTTTATTAAAATTCGAAAATTTTGAAATTAAATTACTTATTTGGTTTTGAAATTGCACTATTGTTAATATTATAGGTTTTGGAGTTTTTAACTCAGGTACGTTAATATTATTGTCATTGCATTCTGAAAAATACTCCGTGGTACTACATAACCTTTCTGGACCAAACCACCATAAACTATTAGATATTATTTCTTTTCCAGACTTCTCAATCAAACGTTATAGACTAGAAACCAATTTCGAAAGAAAATTCAAATGGCTGTAACTTTTGAACCAGTAGCCAAATCTTGGAACTGTTTGAAATTATGGATTCTACAGGCCTCATTCTATAAGAAAATTTTTTTTCCGAGTCGATCTGACACAATTTTTTCTTCGTCCCTCAATGAAAGGCAGGTTATAACCTTCCTTTTTTACCAAAAATCGACTGCACCAAAATTTCTCGGGAAACACTTTTTCTTATTAATTTTGGTGCGTAGAATCCAAAACAATTCGTACTTTTTCGATCAGACTTCTCAATCAAAAGTTATAGACTAGAAACCAATTTCGAAAGAAAATTCAAAGGGCTGTAACTTTTGAACTAGTAGCCCAATCTTGGAACTGTTTGAAA